GAAAAAACTTGACTACTTTGATTTTCAGTTGTGGCCTCGACTAAGTAATTTTTCGTTACCTTAATATCAAGCAAAATTGGGAAAGAGAGGCCCGTGAAAACTGCAAACCAAAACTCCATGCAATAAAATGGAAAGGCAGAGGAGACAGTTGGTCTGGGTAGGGCAGTCTGCTGATTGTGTTGACCCTCTGATGGGTAATTACATCCTGAAGAGTAATTACGAATAAGTATTTGCTGTATGTAAACAGTTGCATTAGACGTCAGCCATCTCGTCTTCCTTGGTAATCTCAGTGATCTTCTGATCACTGTCTTAAACAGTTCCTGGAGGCTTTTAAAGTAAAATAGATATGTTCATTTGGATTTACAACATGAGATTTTTCATTATAGGAGAGTTTGGTAACTCTAATGCATGATGTGAAAGGAGGCATACTCAGGAAAGAGATAATACGTCTCTGTTTTCTCTGTTTCCCGCATTAGCATGTGTGTAGCTATATAGGGATATAAGGATATGGATACTAAAGGCTATGCCTTCATGGGCAGGTGTGGGTAGGCTAGTGATTCAAGTGGACTGGGCACTAATCGCTTAGTTTGGAGGACGTATAGTTCTGATCATTGGTACTGCATGCAAGGAATATGGTTCCTTGAAAGTCTACTGTAAAATAAGGTTAAACCAAGCTATATAACAGTTTGTTTGGTTTTCTGAGCGCTCTAATAATCCCTCTACTTCTTAAAATTGTATTCTTCATTTGGGCTTGGGCAAGATTTAATGATACACATTCTGAGTCATATAAAGACTTGCCAATTTGCATTGATAGCTTGAAGAAGCATTGAGAGCTACTCATTTTCTCAAATTAGCAAGTAAATCAGTGAATGTAATAGAAAAAAATGGAGTATGAAATACACGCTATTTATTTTATTATTTCCTCATAATAACTTTGTATTATAGAAGTAAATATATTGCAGTACACATTTGTGAGGATAATGAAATTGGAGTGCTCTGTCCTCACTACAAGTACTCTGATAAAATCATTGTCTGAAAGTGGATGTCGTATATCATTACAAAATTAATTTCTATTTTTGCAGATAATGTACAAAATCTAAGTGTACAGACACAACATAAGAACAGAGGCAGGCTTTCAGAAAAAGCAAAATAAAGTGCATTTCTCGTATGCTAGGTCACCTTTATATACCGCAGTGGGTATTTTTGGTCTAATTCTAAACTGTGTTTATACAGTATGGTGGTCATAATCTGGACAAAAAATTATTGAAATAAAGTTTTTTTTCCAGCTCAGTAAGCCCACTGTATCCCAGTTCACGTACAACAAGAAGGAAGGCAGAGTTCTGTCGTCTTTGCGGCATATCTGTGGAGAATCCTCAAACAGAATGTCTTGAATTTGGTGGAAAACACTTTGGGCTAGTGAAACAAAAGTCTAGGGAAAATTTATTTTCTTCAGTTTGCAGAGACCGAGGATCTAGAACTTTGAAGTATCTCTAGAAGCAGAACAGAGAAAGCAGATATTGGTGTAGGTCTTCAAAACGAACAGATGAGCAATTGGGAAGGGGATCTCAGAGTCAAGAAGTAAAAGAAAGGAAAGATATGCTTTTGTTGTGGGCATTTCTCTTTAGCTGTGGGACTGGCTGAGGGAGAAGGAAACTTGCTGTCTAGGTGGCAGACGCATCATGGTTTGTCAGAGAAACTGCGTGCAGGATGGGAGGAGGCAGGAATGTCCTGGTGTCCAGCAGACAAATGAGAAGGAAGAGCTCCAGCAGGGCCATCAGGTAATCCTGCTGGGTAGTGCTCTGCCAAGGAGAGTTATAATACTGGGAATCCTTAAAATAGGCGTCTCTGGCCAAAAGCTAGAGTGCTGAGGTCAGGAAGACTGCAATTAGAATCTTTGAAACCAGTTATTCACTGAGAAAGCGAACTTGACCCTGTTAGGGACAAAACCAAGCTTGACCTTGTCAGGGGAGAAATTCAGGGGAAACTTTTCAGTATTTTTGTTGTAGGCATTTCTTCATACAGAAATCAGCAGGCCCTTGCAATTTTTAAAATAAGTCAGCTTTAAGGAAGATATGTATAATAGTTTAAAGCTGTAAAAAATGCTTAAAGGAGAAAAAGGCTATATTTTTGTGTGTAAGAATTACCCTATCTACAATTGCTGTAGTTGCAGCTTTGACCATGTCACAGCAAGAGGGTTTCCTTGATGTGGTGGAAACTCCCTGGATCAGTCTCAGGATTGTGTGGGAATACATTTAGTACGTCTTGGTACTAAATGCTCATAAAGTCATATTCGAATTGCTTATGGTCTCCTAATCCAGGATTTATTGTCCTGATCCTATTCCAGAACTAGAGACTTGAGTTGATTAAAAAAAAAATCTTCTAAGCTTTTGAGTAAATTGATTTACTCTGGCTTGAAAATTCTCATATACCACCCATTTCTATTAGTGTGCATGATCCTAGTATTCAGCCATATAATATTCAATACTAGAAGGATTTTACAAATGGCACATAATAGCCATTAAAAAAAAAGCTATGTTAGATTTCACTATTAAAATACCAATCATGAATGTGGAAAATTACCGTTAGTTATACCTAATATGTTGCCACTTTGTTTCTTTCCAGAGTGGGAAGACTGAAATAGTGAGCCAGCTCTGTTACCTGCAGTTTTCTCTGTGCTATTCTATCTAAATACAATAGAAAAACCAATCTGTTCATACTTTCTACTGCTAGCTCACTCCATCAGCTAGGCAGTCCTCTTCCTTCTGCACCTTCCTAATTACAACCTTTATTTCATTGTTGTGATTTCTGTTGTTCATCACATTGTGATGAAATCTCTTAACTATTGCCCCCGTTAAAGTGTTGTCTCAAGAGCAGCTAGGAGTACAGCATACACCCAGATTGGCTTGGCCTCCCAGCCTCAAAGTAGGCACGGAAGAGGCTGACTGGTTTGCCTAATCTTGCCTCAAGTTTGCTGCCTAGTTTTAGCAGTGTTTTGGAGGACGAGGAGCTGCCTTTCAAAATGTAATAGAGATTGACCTAACTAAAAGTTAAGAGACTTTTCTCAGTGTCTAGCCTGAATTTCCTTTGCTGTCACTTATGCCCGTTACTATTTTTCTGAATCATAGTGAACATGTAGAAGAGCTTATTCCCCTCTTCTTTGGAGACACCTGTTGCGTATTTGAAGATTGTTGTCTTGTTTACCTTCAATTTTCTCTTCTCTATAGACTAAGCAATCTTTTTTCAAAGAAACGGGGGTGTATTTTATTTTTACATCCTCGTGCAATGATTGTCTTTATTGCAACAGAATGACCTCACTGACCAGTGGCCCTCCAGTAGACCACTGTGACCTCCTTCTCTAACTAGTTATTCCCTTTTTGTACAGTTTGTTATTCCTGTCAAAGTGTAGAAACCAGCATTTGTCCTTACTGAATTACATTTGCGGCCTATTTCTCCAAGTTAATAGGAACCTTTCACATTATGATCCTATTCTGTGCTGTACTTGCAGACCAACCTTGCTCATGCTGTCTGCAAGCGTAATAAGAGCACTCAGTTCCGTCATCCAAGTCATTACCGAGAATGCTGAATAGTACTTGACAAAGGCAGAGCTCTGTGCAGCTCTGCTCAAAATACATCCAGCCATTTTGGCAGTGAACCCCTGTTAACTATTCTCTGGGTGTAATTTATTAATTATATGTCCCCAAGATTGCTCGTGGAAATGGTAGAACATTGTGCAACGCAGTATTAAAAGCCTTGCTAAAGCTAACATATATGACATCTATTGCCTGTGCAATCTTCTACATTTGGAAACGCAGAGGGGAGTTGTAAAGACATCAGTTCTACAATCATATGTATTATTTAGTGACTGAAAAGTTAGATTTTCATTAGGAAATTATTGGAAAGTTTCCATTCAAATTTGCTAGAAAGAATAATACTGGCTTCTGTGAAACAAGACTCGGAGTATCACAATATTTGCATTAATTCTAATTGTTGGTGCAAATACCCAAGCTTGTGACAGCATGCAACACACAAAAAAATTGCATTGTTGAAAATATGGCTTATAGCTTGTGTTCTAGCTAAAAGTGCCATTCAAGGACAGAAGAATTTTTTCAGAAATTTGGATGATTATGTCCTTTTACATTACACTGTAATTTATGGAGTATTAAAGAAATATCTAGGGCCTTTTCAACAATCCGAAAAGTATTCAGAAGAAAGTTATTAATCAGTGATAGCTCACTTTCATGGCTTTCATTCATATGGAATTTTGCAGCTGTTGTTTTCATTTAAATTGTTTTAAAGGGAATAAAGGGCTTATATTTTTAATAATTTGCCTGTAGTTTGATTAAGTTGGAGGGTTTTTTTGTTTTTTTTTTAAATTACTGTATTATCCAGAGCAGATTCTTTTAAGGACTCTAGGATGTTTTAAAGAATATTCATAGTTAAATGATAGACTAACTTACTGCTTTGGTCAGAAATGTAGTCATTACTTTGCAAGGTTGATTTCCTTATGTGTGATGATTTGCAATGTATTATGTATTAAAAATTGTATGTAGTATGTTAAACCTTTGTCATCTCTACTTAGCTTGCCCTGAGGTACGGACTTTGCGGTCTCCAGGGAATGATGTATTTCGTTACGTAAATGGAATAAATGGAGAAAACTCTGGCTTTCCTGTCAGCTTTCATAAAACTTTACTGTCAGCTTTACATTCCCTGGGCCATTATCAGAGAGAAATAGCTATATTGATATTGAGCGTGTCATTGTTGCCCTAAAATACGTGTCAAAAAAGAATGAATGTGAAAGCATGTATAGTTTTGTGAGTTTAAATGACGTTAAACATTACCACCTTAAATTAGGAAATGCTAATTTGTTCTACTTATATACTTTAATATTTCAGCTTTAAAAAAGGCACAAATGCGTTTTTAGCTGTGTATTTATTTGGGATTTGTTAATGTTAACATATTCTGTTTCCTTCTTACAATTTTTTCTTATGTATTCTTCCCAGAATGGCTTCACTCCTTTATATATGGCAGCTCAAGAGAATCACATTGAAGTGGTAAAATATCTCCTGGAAAATGGAGCCAACCAAAGCACAGCTACTGAGGTGAAGTATACTGGATTTTTTTTGGTTTTGTTTTTTTGGGTTTTTTTGCAGGTCACTTAAAGTCAGAAGATTTTCAAACTGAGTATTTTCAGAACTTTCAGCAGTTCATGTCGCTGAATTGTATTTAAGAGTCTTCCACACACGGAAGACAAGGACGAACTGTTCTGGAAGTTGTGAAAAGTCACGGGATGAAATCTTGCCTCATTCATTTAAAAGCAAAACTTCCAGTGAGCTCAGCATTCTCACCTTCAGTCTGTGCTTGTTTCCTCCGTCAGCGCCCCAGATAATTTCCTGAAAAGTAAATGAATCTTTGAAGGGAGGACCCTGGAACTGTAAAAATTATAGGAGGGCAAGGTTGACCCACTGAAATAGTGTTGCCAGGGGGGATGAACTGAAGACTGAATCATAAACCAAGAGAAGAGGTACATATTTTGTTTGAACAGACTTATGTCTCTGGCAGATCCCATGGAAACTCAAGCATCTAGGAGTGCCTTCACTTGAGCAACAGTGCTAGATTTGTCTCTGCTGCTTTTTGTTCTGCCTAAAAATATCTGGGCAAAAATTGGTGAAGAGAATATTATGGCGTGTCTCTCCCACTTGCCTGTGTAGAGGGGTCTTCTGGGAAAGGTAGTCTGGAGGCTGCTTCAGCCTCTTCCTCAGCCAACTGAAAAATGTGTGAACCATAATGTGAACTCCATAATTAGGACTATGAGGGCCCTGTCCAAAAGTGTGTGTGTATGTAGTATAAAATGATATAAACTAGTATTGATAAGGAATAGCAAAATAACTTAGTTGTTGACAAGCTTCCTTTTAGATCAGGTCTTGAGATTTTAGCTGAGTCCAGAATATGCTCTATACAGAGTGAAAGGGTGAGAAACAAGCAAGTATGTGCCCAAAAATAGTGAGGAAAATGTTTTTTGCTGGGTTCACAGGATCATTCAGGTCGAAAGGGGCTTTGGGAGGTCACTTATTGCAATGTGACTTATGCCTGTTCCCCTAAGTGTGGAGCAATGGCAGCTTGTGCATCTGTGACCAGCTGTAAGACTTACTGATTCCTGAGGCTCATCTGTGACTCCAAGTATAACCTATGAATATTTGTTATTTTCTGTGGTTAATGTAATTTGGAAATCAGATGTCTAACAAGGATCACATCAATGAACTCACGAAGCAATGTGCTGCTTTCTCCACAGACAATTTATTTCTACCCCCAAACCACATGGGTATAAATATGCAAAAGGATGGTATTCATTGCTAGGTTCTGAGCTTAACTGCAGTGCTGTACACCTGTAGTAACTTCAGCGCAAGCAGCACACATGCCAACATAACAGTGACCAGAATCCATCTCAAGAGAAACTGGATCATGAAAACTTCCTTTTCCAAATGAGAGGATTTCAGGGCTATGGGGAAAACTCATAGCTAATAAAGTCTGTGCTCATTCTATTTCCTTTTGTTCTGCTTCTGCCAAACATTCTTTTATTCTAGGGAACAAGTGAGCAGACTCTGGTATTGTAAAGTGCTGGCTTCTTGTGAGTTCTGTGGATATGCAATATTAAACAGTACTCATATATATATCCATTATTTTAACCTTTCCTCAGTCTGTACAGAAACTTACCCATTCTGGATTACTTTCATGAACAGATGAATTTGAAAGGGTAGTTCATTTATGCTTGCTTTCCTTTTCTTTAAACTGAACTCAGTGTTAACAGCTGCTTTACTATCCCTTCTTTCAATGGATACTGTACATTTTGATGACAGCTCCTAAAATAATCCTCCTGTGGCCTGCATAGATGGAGATAATGTTACCATTGCAGCTTTCTGAAACATGAAATCCTGTGTGATTGCCAGGCAACTTGGCAGAAACACATCCTTGTGAATTGGCTGCAATGCAACTTTGGATCTCCAAGACCCAAGCCCAGCTACAGCTCTCAGTCACCTGCTTGCAGTTGGTCGCTGAACAACTTTTATTGTCTGTGATCAGGTGTACAGGAAATTCATTCATTAGTTTACAGGAGCTGTGAAGCTGATACGATTGTAAGTAATAGGGCCTCTGCTTGAACATAAACATGCAGACAACCCTGGAACTCATAGTATATTCTGATTAGGAAAAAAAAGGGATGGGGAGAGGAAGAAAAGCTAACTGCCCCCTCCTCCAAAGCTGAGCCCAGATCCATCTTCTGCCATCAGAAAGATCAGTGCTTACTTTTGTGACCTGCAAATTAAAGCTTGACTATGCCCTTATTTCTCAGCTAGGTAAGTTTTGGGTTCAGATGATACCTGGCTGATAGTTTCAGTGATTTGAATACTGCTGAAGGATGGACTGAGCAGCTGTCTGCTTTCGCATATGCTCAGATTTAGTCACAGAATGAAAAAATAATGTGTTAAATAAGGTGGGATGGCAGCCTGAACTGAAGATCTCACTGAAATATGTGGAGAAGGATGTTTTTGTTTGGCACCAAAGATTGGATGTTCTCGTGGTGGGGACAGGGGAAGTGAAATGCCTTCTCAGAACTGCTATTAGCCATGCTCTCTGTGTGTAAATAGGAGAGGGAATGCAGAAAGGGTTGTGTCCTTTTAGAGTAGGATGGAAGATAAAGTGGTGCAGATCAAATAGTTGGTTTTGGTTTTGAAGATACAAAACTAGTACTGCCTTTGGATGTACTTCATGTTTCTTCTCACTCTTATATACATGTATGTATAAAATGAGAATAAGGTGGAGATCAGTTTCACATGTCCTCTAATCCAGGATTTGTTCTCATGTTTCTAGAGGCGAAAGGCAAGTGCATTAAGCTATTTCAACACCTAATGTAGCCCCAATCTGAGAATTATCTTTACAGTTCAGCTGTTTCATCAGCTGTTCACCCCTTTTTAATTCACTGTACAGAATTTAATCTCTATTACAGAAAGAAACTATAATAGTATAGCTATTACAACACACCTACCCACAGTTCTATGCAAAAGGGAGGAAAGGTTATTAGATTACTAAGGGGAAAGATCACTTTGGCAAGTCTGGGCAATTCCTCAAATGTTTGTCTCAACATATGTTCACTCTCCTTCCTAATTTGTCCTTTGTTATTTTATCATCTTTCTCTTTTCCTATTTCCAATCAATTTCTTGTCTTTCCTATGTCTTCTGCACTGTGTCTTAAGTCAGTCTGCTCACTTTCTGGCTACAATCATCTCTCTAGTTGTTCCTTCTCACCTAGATGTAGAATGCCTTGTTTTATTCCCTTCCCTTCTCATTTTGTTATTATTCACCATGCCTTCTGGTCCCAAACTCCAGAACTCTGTTCTTCATGCTTTATCTGCCCTCCAGTTTAAGATGCGGTGGCAGCACCTATACACTATGCTTGAGTGGTAGTTTTTTAGATTTGGTTTTGTTAGATTTAGTTTATAGTCAGAATAACAGGTATGTGAGTAGGTGGTACTTCAGATGAGATAGCAAGTTGTGATCATGTGATACAAGTTGTGATCATTGGCAATCCAGGGCACATGTGGAGGAGCAAGAATTTTTGAAAATAAGTTTAAAAAAAAAAATCTAAAGCTATGAATGAAAAATAGATTTTTCTGACTTGTTCTTCCAGAAGGTGCAAATATTGTAATGTTTTGCTGCTTAGAATTAGAATAAGTTAATAAACATCATCTGGCTTTCTTGAGTCATAGTCCACGTTTAGCTTAGAATGGGGAACAGCAGTAAATGCATCTGAAGATATGCTTTCTTCTCCTAGAGATAGAAGATATTCAATAACAGGATCCCTCTACATTTTTCACATCTACCCTTATGTTGCTTAAAATATGCTTTGTGGTCTGTTTTAAGATGAGAAGTAATTGATAGAGATACAATAGAACGATCTGTTGCCTGTTCTTGACATAAATGAGACAACTTTGAAGGGAAGAAGTGTGCTTCTGAAAGGTTTGAAGTTGTATCTGAGGGGATAAAATGTTGCGTCTCTGATGCCATTTCATTGGAGGCTGTGGTGCAGAGGTAGAAAACAGCTGGTAATGTGCTTATCAAATTTCTCTGTGTGAACAGCGCTGTGGCGCTCACTGAAGCTATATATCCTTCAGCTTACTGAGTACATTTTGTTTTCTTCTCTACCAGGATGGCTTCACTCCATTAGCTGTTGCATTGCAGCAAGGACACAATCAGGCAGTGGCCATCCTCCTGGAAAATGACACCAAGGGGAAAGTGAGATTACCAGCTCTGCATATTGCCGCTAGAAAAGATGATACCAAATCAGCAGCACTCTTACTTCAGAATGACCATAATGCTGATGTGCAGTCCAAGGTAACATGATGCTGTCTTCAAGGTAACAGGGTTGTCACATGGCTGAGTGCCTATGGGCAGCAAACTTTACTTCCTTCATCTTAAAATAACAGTTAAAAGTAATTTATTCTGTGGGGAAAGATAAGTTTCTACACCAGTATCACCAATAATATATCTACTTGTGCAGTGTTTAGCTACCTAATAGTTATAAACTATACTTTTTTTTTTGTATTAACTCCTATTGCTTTGGTAATCAGCTTTCTCTCATTATTTATGAACCAGAAGAAACAAAAATGGAAGCAGAATCACTGCCTGCCTATTAAATAGGATACTGGTTTATTGCCCATAGGAATATAGCTTATTTATAATGTTACTGCATGCTTGAATGGCTTTTCCCATAATAACAGCATAACTCATTTCAACAGGCAACTTAGTTCCTTGTTTTACGGCCAGTCTGTAATATCTTTCCTCTTTTTCCCAAACCATGCTGCATCAGATGATGGTGAATAGGACGACTGAGGTACCGAGATCAAAAATTTTTAATTACTTTTTCTGTTATTTATAGTTATTTTCTCTTCTCTGTGGCAATATTTCTTTATTATTTAGCACTAAAAGTAAAGTTATGATTCTTTTTTAATACACAGCAATTGTGACTCAGCAAGCATATTTTTATTCACCCTTTGGTTTATAAATTCTTTTTATTTGGGAGTGTCAATGTATTGAAGTAAACCTGAAGAACTGACATTCAGTTCGAAGAAGTTTAAAGCAAGTAATGGAGTTAAAGGGGATAGAGATGTTTTTCTAATTCAGTTAAGTTAATTATGGAAATGCACTCACTTGGCATAACTAAATTAAGGTGTCTGGCTTTGCCAGAATCATGATAAAATTCATTTTCCTGGAATTACAGTAAAAAATATAATTGAATCTGTCAAGGTAAAAACTTGTTCAATGCATCTGTTCATTTTTACTGTTCAATCTTTTCAATAAAGTGTTCAAAAGTCCTTAAGGGATAGCGTATGATCAGATTTTACCTTTTTCTTTTGGAAAAAGAATTATTTCCAAGAATGGAGTGATTATGTTGGTATATTTGAATGCCTGTTTTTAAGTAATTGACTTTCCCTGTTAGAGGAAGGAATGCTTTTGAACGCACTCAGGCGTGTGAACATGCTTCGTGCTTGGCGTGTGAACACGTGAGCAAGCTGCCATGAGGCAGCTGGGGATGTGAAGTGGAAGGGCGACAGCTTCTCCCTGGCATCTGCCTGGGTACATGTTCTTCACTTGCTGTAAATGTGAAGCAGTTTACCTCTCCTTTTCTCAGCATTAAATTACCTTCCTCTAAGTACCTTGCATTTGTCACAAGGTAAATCCGTGTCTGTGAAAAGTTAGTTGTTAATGCAATATAAATTCACTCTCTAGTTTAACACAGTGTAGTATTTATGTATCTGCACCCTCACTAGATGTTTTTGTGGTAATTTACCACAGCAGCATGGCCAGGAATTTAATGACTGTTTCATTCTGCTTTGACCTGGATCACCTGTGGGCTGACATGGAAGTAAATGGAATTAGCTTAAAATAATGGGCTGATTGCTGTATCTTTTGGGAATGAAGTTGCTGTCAGAGTGCAACATCTGCCTACATTTATATATTCCCAGAGCGGTTTAAAATGCTGATCCATACACTGAAAGAAATGAAACCTAGCTCACAGTATGATATGTGCCAGAAGTATTTCTAACTTTCCCAAAACTAACAGTAAGATTGTAAGATCTGATTAAATCAGTGTGAAGCTCTTCAGGTAAACCTCCAAAACAAGGTCCTTTCCTAGCTGAATTACTTACAAGACTAAAAGCTGGCTCCGTGTCCTAGTTTCTGAAAAGTTAATCTTTTTTATGTTGCTGTGAAGCGTTCTGTGTCTTCTACTAAAGCAGGTTTCACATTCAAGTTTTCAAGCTGCAATAATTAAATTTTTTTTTCTGATGTGTAGATGGCAAAGTTTTTTCAGATTCTTTGAGATCCAAGTTGTATATGAATATAAATTGTTATTGTTCTTACACTATGCAGTCTACTATGTAAAGTTTCTCATACGCATCAAATTCTTGGGTATGTTATGAAAAAACCACTGGTTTTTCAAACAAAAGAAAGGAAATATGACTTCAAAGTTTGTAATTCTAAGAGAAGATCAGTAAAATAAGAGTCCAATAGCTTTTGTAGTCTGTTAGACAAAAAATAATAAGCAGATGCACCCAAAAGTCCTGTTTTGCTTCTGAACTGTAGTAAAGAAACTTCCTTTATTTTCTCTAAGAATGGCTGATATGTTACTATTTTCAAAGATGAAAGCAAGGCACTTCTTATTGGCTGGAAGGCTGACTCACAGAATGAGAGAAAGAAGCAATTTTGATCATCTCTAGTAAGAAAACAGCATGCTGTCCTCTTGAAAGACTATGCTGTATTATAGGTGAACTGGATAAAATCAATATATTTGTTTGCCGGAAAATTCTAAAATCAGGTTCTAGTTAAGTAGAGTGTATTGTATAGGTTGTTTTCTATAATAAGGGCTGTTTCCTTTTGTAGAGTGGCTTTACACCTTTGCACATAGCTGCACACTATGGAAATGTCAATGTGGCAACACTTCTGCTAAACCGAGGAGCTGCAGTTGATTTCACAGCCAGGGTATGGAGGAATCTTTTTGTCTTCTTAGTTGTGATGGCCTATGAAAGTGAGAGCATATCTTTGTTGAATTCCTAGGCAAAAGTAAGTGAGAAGCAAAGTAGTGTTGAAATTCTGTTGTGTCCAAGGATTTTTTTTTTTTGGTGTTAATTCCTAAAGGTTGCCCGCACGCAATGCAGCAGAGTCTTTCGGAGTTTAGTGGCAACTGAAGAAGCAGGCTCCTTTGAGTAGTTCCAGACTGCCAATATTCTCATCCTGTGTCAGTGCATTTTAGCTTCCCTGTCACAGTTAGACATACTCTAGAAGTCTATGTAATATGTATTGGCCTTTTCCTATCTGTTAAGGGTTCAGTATTTATTATACTACTTTAAGTGGCTATTTTTGTGTATAAACATATTTTGAAAAAGTAAACTACACTGCCATTATATAAATACAACAATATAAGTACTAATTAATCATAACTACTCTTTTTTATGGTAAACAACTGTAGAGCTACATAATATAGACTATTGCTGTTGTATGTTACGTAGGTTGAAGCATGTCGTCTAATGTCCTGAAAGCCTCTGGTAATCTGTATATCACCATAGCTACTGGATCGTGATTTCTCTGTATAGTTTTGCATTGCCAGACACACTTGAATTTCTTTCGGGTTCTGCCTTTCAGACTGATTTCCTCCTTTTGCTGGTCTGGAATACTTGCTAATACTACATCTTTCCCTCATCCAAGGTGTTTGCAAGGACTTTCAGCCGAAACAGGACTTACGTCTTTACACTATTTGCACTAATGAGATTCCTTTGTGTAGGAGTCATACGTTTGTGTGTTCTGTGTATGTTGCAATGATTTAAATGCATCAGTGTAAACTCAGTGGGACTCTGATATATGTTTGCTTATTTGTCTGACTCCAGGACTGTGATGTTTGCTGCTTTGGCAAATGTGCTTCTTTGTTATTAAAAATAAAAATAAAAAAAACACACACACACACAAACCCAAACTGAATAAAGGTTCTTGCTTAGAAAAAAATTACTAACTCTAGTTTAAATGGTGTGTGCCTAGCTCTGATGCTCAAGTACATTTTTGTTTATTCTCTATAATGTAGTGACGGTCTCATTTTTGTGATCCAAACACAAAGTCGCCACCATCAGGCACCTTCAGATCCATCATGCTCATTGTTTGTTCTTTTCATGGTGTAGAATGGAATCACCCCACTGCATGTGGCTTCCAAAAGGGGAAACACAAACATGGTGAAGCTCTTGTTGGATCGCGGAGGGCAGATCGATGCCAAAACCAGGGTGAGTGTTTCTATTCCCTGAATATGATGTTGTCCCTTCTTGGGAGTGGATTGGGGTTTTTTGCTTGCTTGTTTTTGGTTTTTTAGCCAGAGAATGGGAACGCTAGGATTCACAGCTAGGAATTTTGCTTAAGTAATTGTTTCTTTTCTTGTTTTCTGTTCTTAACATAAGACATTAGATGCAGTTGCTACAAAAGTTGTCTGCTCACAAGTGAACTCTTTTTGAAACTTGGACCAAATTTTCAATGGTAACTCCAAAAAAGAAGTGTGAAGAAATACTTTTGTACTAATTTTATGCATTTGGAATCCTACTTTTAGTTTTCAGGTAGTTACTTGTTATATATAGACTGTTTTCTGTGGTACGAGACTAAAGAATGGCTGGCATTGGTAGTAGGAGGCAGATATACAGGAGACTGAAAGAAATAGTTTAATCTGCCTGCATCGTAAAGGAAATACAGTCACACTCAGATCTTGGTGAGGAAACAGTTAAGCCTGTTAATCATTCCAGTCACTGTGCTGCACAGCAAGTGGAAGGCTCAGCTAAGCCTTCTAGTCCCCTGAGTCTTACATTCTTGTGCCAGTCATAGGTGGACTGTTGAGAAGGAAAGCTACCTCAGTGGGCTGGCGACCACTTTTTACCGAGGAGTCAACACTAGGAACAAGTAACCTACTCTGCCACCAGCAAACCACCTCTCCCTCTGTAACCACAGAGAATTAGATGACTCGCTTCTTCCTACCAGTTGTGTTAATGAAATGCCACAGCAATAGTTTGCTCTTTATTCATGGGTCATTTTGCAGTCACTCAGGAGAAAAAAAATGCATCACTTTATATGGGTAGACTTTTTTTTTTTTAAATCAGATTTTGGATTCACCTCGTAAAATACGGTCACTTATGCAAATAGAACTGCACAGGCCTCTTTCTTGAACGCTGCTGTTTCTAAACATTGATCTGCAAAGTTAAATCTCCAAGTAACGGAGGGTATTTCAGAACACAGAACTTGGAGCTGGATGTAAGAGTTTGACACTAAAGCAAAGTGTAAGGCTTTTGTTTAATAAGCTAGAAAGGTAGGAGACATTGCATTCAACAGCACTTGAGGTTGATTCAGCTTCCTCTATTACTTTGCTATTGTTTTAATCAACCTTTTATTGCTTCATAATCTATGAAGACAAATCTTAATTTTTATATGACTCTATATATGATTAGGATTTTGATTTCTGATTATGTACGGAATAATGCCTCCCTTTCTTTCTTTCTTTCTTTCTTTTTCGTTTTTAAACACTCATGATGGAAAGTGCTGTCCTTCATGAAGGTGTGCAGTAAATCATTCCTGGCCAAATTCTCCACAATCTGTGCTAAAATCTAATGGTAAAGAGGCAGGAAACTGTAATAATACACTGCAATCAAGATATTCCAGATACTGAAAAGCACAGTAGTCATATGGAAATGGTCTGTTTGGCTTCTGGAATGACAGTATTGAATTCACCTATTTCCTGCTCGGTATTTAGAGATTTGTTTTGGAAAAGTTGGCCCAGATGATTGTCAAGGACTTCCTGATTTTTATAAGGTCAAGAGGTATGCCCATCCCCTCTTCTCACTGAGAAAGACTGGTGTGTAGTTGTGGATGAAACTGAAAGAACAGGGCTTTGTCCAGTGTCCACAGAAGGCTCTGACGGTAGAAGAATGCCCACTGCCATGGCTTACTGCCCTTCATCAGCTGGTAAATTGGCTCATACACTGTCAGCAGAAAGATACCAGTGAAACCCAATAACGTATCCTAAAGCACGTGTGTTCCAGTGTGCACAGCCGTAACAGCTTTTCCTTGCTTTCATCCTCTACGTGCTCTCTGCTCAAAGACGCGTGGGTTGTGGTCACTGCGCGTACTTTACAGTGTGGGAGATTCCAAAACTTTGATTCTGTTGTCAATGTCTCTCTGTGGCGTGATAATGTCTTCATGCCAGCTTTTTATATAGTCTCGGTGTCTTTTTCTTTTCCCCTTGCTTTGTCCGCATGCCTTGTGCTTTGCTATGGCCGTGAGTATGTAGGGTATTGAAGAGGTAGGTTGTGTGTTGCATGCCATGCATACATGTGTTTTGTTCTTCAAAGGAAAGACTTTTTGCCTCCCCCCGCTTGGTACTAACATGCTTGCCTTTCCATACTTGCCTTGTCATTTCTCCTAAGGAACACTTACATCTTTCCAGGAGGTCAGAGCCCCTGAAACACAGTGGAATTAAATCTACTGGGGTATTTCATGTCTGGTAGCTTGGGCTTTTTATCTTTGATTTCCATACCATATCAAAACAAGCTCTTTGGTTAAGGAAGTATTCATTGCTTTCATTCATCTTATTTTTAACTTTCTTTATTACATGACATATGATGATGCATAAATTAAGAGGAGAAATCTTATTTTAACAGATTTTAAAAGAGCTGCAGTACTTTAATTTTGCACAGTTAATCTGTGAAATCTTTTTATGTTTGAAAACGTTCCATTGGAATGCTCTTTTAAGGATCCCTGTATTGTCTAAAAAAAGTAAGATGAAATAGATGTTCTTCAGAGAGAGTAAATTAAGAATGTGTCCTACATTTCCATAGTTAATGTTGCAGGTCAGAGCAAATTCTGCTTGCTGCAGGAATTAAATATTTTTGTTTTGTGTACATTTCATAATGTATACACTGAGATTTTATGGCATTTCTCGCTGGACCATAAAGATGTAGAATTGCAAGTAAATTTGCTACTTTTATTGTTTTTTTAAATAGCATTTTACTTAAATATTTCTGGTAAATTTTACCATTTTTTAAACGACTAAATAAGTTCTTAAAATGTAGAATTTCACTTCTCATTTGTATTGTATCTAAGGCAAAAATGTAAACTCCATTCCAAATTGTATTAGCAGGATAATTTTATTCATACTATTTTTTATATTTACATTAGTATTAGATGCGTTTACTTACAAGCCTCATCTTTGGAGATTTGTTTGCTAGATGAATAATGGGCAAAATTTCTTGTGGTAAAACATTTCATATTTAAAATGTTAGTCAAGCCTGTAGTCTGTAATCGTTTACCTGTACAAGAATGTCGATGGCATATAGCTGTTTAAAATCTTAAAGAGCAAGGTACAGCCAGACTTCTGACCTCTAAAACTTACTACGGTAGAGCAGTGGAATTAGATTTCAGAAGCAAGTGCAGACTGTGGCCTAGAACCAGTGTCCGGAAATGTATTCTCTGCTTCTTGAAATACTTCTCTAAAAGGTGATGGAAATTTCAATTTATGTTTAAATCGATGTCATGCAATGAAGAGTAAAATGGCAATTGTCAATTCTCACTTTGACGGAAGGAAAGCATTTGCAGCCTTCCCAAAACGTAGTAAAGGTTATTACAGGGAAAATTGTTTTAGTGTTTAAAAGCAAAACAATTTCAGCATAGTCAAAAATATATGTCTGTAAAAAATAATTTTCTAATATAAATGAACAGTAGCTGGAAGGCTATTCAAATAATATTTTCATTATATTGATATTGAAATGTTTACCGACTTTATTAAAGAGTTTTAGCAGTGTTCTTTGAGTGCTATTTGTATAATATGTTTTTATAAACTCTATTGTATTTATACATAGAACGCATAAGAAAAAAGAAATAAGAATGCAAGACTTTTTTTCGTTTTTGCTTTTTTACCTTTAAAACACTATGTTATTCACAGCCCTTTGACACCTTACTAGCATTTCCATTTTTGCACAACTACGCAAGCACTCTTAAGAAGGTGGGGAGTAACACATTCACCTGTCTCAGATGCTGAAGTTGTCACGTATTTGTGTTCTCTCTACTGGACCTTGCCACCATTGAAATTCAAATTATCTTGCTCTGAGACTTTTTCAGAGTCGTCTTGCAGGCTCTTGTCCAGAATATTTGTGCTTGAGAAAAATGCCTGGGATGAAACGGAGAATCTAGTTCTTGGAATGGAAAGCTGATTGTGTTGGGAAGCACACACACTGTGTGCCTAGAGCTTGGCAGCTGGAGTTGGACTAGGGAGGAGAAGTGATAATGCTGGGGAGAAAGTCTGGTGTAACATTTGGGTTGGAGAAGGGCCACAGAAGAGAAAGGAAGCCCAGCTGAAGCCGAAAGAAGGGGGAAGATTGGTCACAGAGATGTGCGATACCAATAGGGA